TTTTCTCTGCGACTTCAGCACACACATGTCCACTCCGCTTGGTATTCCTACTCTTGGGTTTGTTGGTTGGACATGAGTTTTCTCAACTCTCGATTCCCTACACTTCTTGCTAATTCATCTATTTCTGTTTCTTTCCCAGTCTTTTTTTTTGCGTTTTCGTCTTCAACGCTTCTTTAGACATCCTATCAAGAAAAAGTCGTTTATGGCGGACCGTTACTGGAAGCCATGTTATGTTAGGATTCGTGAAAACACTCTTTTCGTCTACGACAGTAAAACCGATAGTAAACCTATTCAAGTAAGTTGCCAACGGTGTCATTTTTACAACATTTCTTCGAAGGTAATCATCTCTTAGTTCAATTAAGCCACTAAACACCACCTTAGTAATAGCGATGAGCCACTTCTACGTAACCAATCTCTGTGAGGAATTCCTATATAGAATTTCTGAAATTCAACAGTTCTTTCACTTTTCTGTGGTCAAAAAAAACTATTGGATCACTATGTTAATCTTGTATTTTCTGAATACTATAATTTTTCACAGCAGGGTATGATGTGAATTACAACTACAACGATGCCGAGAAACAACGATTATCGTATATGAGGGCTTGCGTACTATACACTGCAACAGTGAGACTTCGCTTTGCGTTTCTCTCAGCTAGTTTTATACTTCGCCCAAAGGTTTACCGCCTCATCGTAGCTGGGAGGTGTTGCTGGGTGTCGGGCTACGATGTGCAGCGAGGGATTCATCCGAAGGCAGGGTCGCCCAGACTGAAAAGGAGTCCTCCGTTTCCATCAGGAAGCCTAGCTAAGAGTAAACAAATACCAGGATCCACCACCGTCCTGGTATCAAAGTCGCATAGTGGCAAATCTTTCTCTGATCCACAAAGGTGGAGGCGACTGCCTGTAGGAGTGACGACCTGGGGCACACTTTGGCTAGGTGACCTTGGGATTCTTGAGAACCACAGTGGCAAAACCAGCAAAACTCCGAAAAGTGGAGGTTTTGCTGCGGTTTGCACAACTAGTGAGGGCGCCCCGTCGAAGTTTCCAATTAAGTAAGTATCTGTAAAGTGGCACTGAGGAGGGTGAAATCCGCCGAAACCTCAGCTTGTTCGTGAATAAAGAATAAAAACAACACCTCGCGTTTGCTCAACAAGAATACGAGGAATTACTTGATCAATGCAGAGGTTAGTAGAAAGTCGGTCGTCGGATTTATTACGAGACGTACCAGCACGATACTTCCGACTTGTAAAAGAAGCGCTGTCACTAAGACAAAAGATCGTCTTAGCTCGACAGTCAATACACCTTCTCCGCCGCTGTCTAAAACCCTGAGTTATCCCGATTGTGCTCAGTATCCGGAGGACCGCCTCTAGAGTAGAACAGTGGGTGTGTCAATGTTGACTTGCAACTCTATTACGTCCAGTGCTAAAGTAACTTTGCGTTAAAAATTCGAAGGCCTTTTGAATAAATGCATAACACGACTTCAAGAAAGCACAGAAACACCGCTAACGAACATCAAACAGGTCACAGTAGTATATATAATGTGCAAGAAAATTCAAGGCTAACCGTGTTAGGAGGCATGACTCTCCCTGACGGTGCGCGCTCGTTATTACAATTGAGACCGAGTTCCTCACCATCTGAACCCATTTCTAAGGTAACCTTGCGTAGGTTCGCATGTACTTTACATGAACTTCAAGACAGATTCCGAAAAAAAGCTAGAGATGAAACGCAAAATAGGTGCGAACAACACCAAGTGGAGGCCCTACCAATAGCACCATTTCCTCAGCCGTTCTTTAGACAACAGGAGCCCAGTAATGAAACTGATATTAAATTTCGGATGTTTACGAATGAAACTTGCAAAGTCCTTAATCACTGTCGAGCGAAAAGATGCAACTCAAACCTCACTGAAGTGGAAAAACTTGGTATGCGAGAGGTACGAAAGCTGATAAGGTCGAAAAACATAAGACTATCGGTTAGTGATGAGGGTGGAGAGTTTGTCGTAATTCCTCATCAGTTAGATGTTGAGATAACGAAAAAGCACCTTGAAAATGCTTCGCTTTATCGCCCATCATCTGAGGAGTTTAAAAGTAAATACCGAAAATTGAACCACGAATGGGTCAAAATGGCAAGAGCTGCTGGCTTAAAACCATCAGTTATCTCTCAACTAAATGTTGACTTACTAATATGTCCCGTCTTGTACTTGTTTATAAAAACTCACAAGTCAGTATCCAGCGATGATCTTGCGTCTACCGATCCATCATTGTTTAATGTTAGACCTATCATTAACTGTATAGACGGCCCAACGGATAGGATAATGTTAGGTTAATAATAGGTTTTTAACCCTGATATTTGCCCAGTTGTTGAAACACATTCCAGCCCATCTTGCGAATACCCAGATGTTTTTGGATCGTCTAGGTACTACGCAGCACGTGGTATCGATCCCCGCGCCCATGGCCCACTATGCCTTCCAACCCCTCGGGGTCGGCAAATCGGTACCAGACCTGTCTGGGAGGATAGAAGGCACTGGCTCGATACATCGGTGGGCCACCACAATTCATTGTAAAGGTCACATATGCATTCAGTCACCTCCAACGATACTTAATGAAGTCGAATACCTGACGCATCCCTCTGAGATTGATCAACTCCGAGAGCTTTACCTTTTTATCCTTTCACCCCTAGTTTATTAATTATTAATAATTTCCCTGGATTCGTAACGTCCTCATTCAACGGCACTACAGCTATTTGTCCAACTTGCTCTTCGCCTAACAATGACGAGCAAATTTATTTCGGCTTTGGAGTTTTTGTCATGAAGCCTAACACCGGGTGTTAATGAATAATAACCATATATCTGGCGAAGATTCCGAATCCGAGTGGGTAGCGGAAACCCCGTCATCAGTAATGATCTATATCGGTGCAGGTAGAAGAAAGTGAAAAGAATCCGCCAGGGCTTTGCGATTGTAATGCACCACTGTCAGCCCTGACGAACGAACGTGGGGTCACTAAAACTTTTCCATAGGATAAAGAATTGATTAGTGAGAAGTTCTACACCTACCTTTTCCCATTTCAGATTTTCTGTGCTAGAACTTATAGTCGTCGTTGAAGAAAAACCAGCTGGAATTCTTTCCTCTAAGGTTAAAAGTGCTACAGAAAGCATGAAAAAGGGAATAGCTCCAGGATCCGATAATATCACCGCAGAGTTCCTTCGACCTAGAAACCAGAAATCTTATGTGCGACACCGTGTTGCCAAAGCTGTTTAAACTGTAGTGGACAATGATGTTATTCGTTCGGGATAGGAAAGGCTTATGTTTTGAAGGAAAAATCCGGCCGTCTTGGTACTGGTGATGACATCGTCGTAGTCTAAAAAATATCTGCAAAGCAGAGACGGTGATCAGTGAGCTCGACGAAGTGGGAAAAAGATGGGACTATGCATAATTCAGAAGAAGACCCAGTTCGTGAAAAATTCATAGTATGAAGGGGAACAAATCAAATTTAATGGTTCTCTGATTACAGAGACCACCTTGTAAGAGTAGCTTAGACAATCGATGAACATGAAGAACAACGTGAAAGTGGATTTAAAAGAAGAGTGAGGAAAGCTAGAGGCGCATTCGGATCACTCGAAGAAGCCACCAGCCAACTAGCGGACCCAAAAATCCGCGGTCACCTTTTTGATTCAACAGTTCTATAGCGCTCTGTTAAGCAGCGTAAACGTGTGCCAATACTACAATTACACCAAGAATACTGCGCAGTATTGACAAAGCGCTTGGGCGATGTCTTCTGAAATCTAATCGTCACACACAACATACTGTCGGAATGCGAAGCTTTGATCCTAGAAATAGATTTCATCTCTAACACCCAGGGGAACACACGTCGATAGGAAAACATAGATGGGCCTGTTATATAATGAGAAAGACGGATGCAGATGGACTTAAAAAAACCGTGCAGTGGACTCCACGAAGATGCAGTCGTGCTCTAGGAAGACCATCAGGCAAACGTGTCCGTAAAAACAAGCAGCTAAAGCCGCAGATGCGGTTGTTTTATAGATTACTATATGAGATTCGCACCCGCCATTATGCTCAAATCAAGCATCGGCTCCATGAAGACGAAACCACCGAAACGTTAGCCGAATTAACAACTATATCAATCTCGTGTAAGCTCAACAATATAAACACATATCCAAATAAGTATGTCTCTACAACGAGTTTAATCAACCAAATGTGGCTCTTCCGATTGCAGAGACCAGGAAACGCTCTCGCAGCCTATCCCAGGATTGCAGAAAGAATCAAGTTGACAAGTATTCAGCGACGTTCGGAAAAAGGCCAAAACGTGCGATCTTCTCAGTAACAGCTGAGCTCACAGACTAAAATATGAGAGATGGAGATGGAGGTGGCCCGCTGAGGAAGACCTGACTCGACACGGAGGCGAAGTCGCCGCATCGAGACGAATAACAAGCGTGGACCACCAACTCGAATCATCGGCTTTGATAAAGGCGAGGACGTCGAAACGTCAACCGAATAAAGATTGTATGGTAACCTCGTGTAAGCTTATCAAAGAAAGAATGAATTTTGATTAGTCATACCGAGGTTAAAGAAAAGTCGGTTTCGAAATATTAAAATATAAAACTTTCTCGGACTACAGACGTGAGCGTTCAAATGAAATATAAGGGAAGAAATGCTTGGGCGCTCACAATATGCGACGTTGATTACAACTAGTGATTTTGACTGGATTTGCTGACGTGTTTTCACAAGCGGTATAAAGTTCAAACATGCCGCTTCCTCTTTCATTCTTATTTTGTCGTGTTCTTAGCTTTTGGTCGTGAAATCTAGCTTTTCCCAATAGTGAGTATTGACAATAAGATTGTTCTGACCATGGAATCTCGGTGTATATATAGACTTTCTTAGCGACAAAATCACGTCAGCGCACACCTTTTATGTCGAGTTAACGCCTTTGTAGCGAAATGTATAAAATTACATGAGAAATTTAAAAATTGCATACTTTGTGAATCAGTAATGGATACTAAAAAAGAAGAGCTGGTGGGAAAAATTGGTATGAAGTTATTACCTGATATTGCCATCTGTTTTTATTATTTTGCAGAGCTAAAGAAGACTTTTCTGTTTAAGGAGCTTCTGCTACAGGCGAGCTATTCACTTTCGGACACCACACTTCAAGCGTACGACGTCTACAGCAAGATCCATACTGTCAAACTTCAATACGTACTGTACAAAGAGAAAGTTGGGATTCGACCAGGTCAATTTCTACATTTCCTAGAAAGTATCACTCATTTCGTAATGAAGAATTTGTAAGATATCACTGTTATCGAAAATCTCGGGTTATAAGCTTATCGAGTGGTTACGAGCCCCAAAAAATTATTGACAACGATTAATTGCAGCTCTCCAAATATCAAGCTTATTTCTAAGATGCAGCCCATTTTTGTGCTTTGAGATTGTGAAGTCCACAGATTGCGATTAGCTATAAAGGATTACTTTTCTATCCTAATTATTGAATAAAAAAGCGATCTGTATAGTTCCCAGGATCGACTTTCTGTTAACCTCGGCATTGGAATATAAATGCGTCGTTTTCTTGTTCAGCAATCGCAAGGTTTTCAAACAGCATACATCTACTTCCATAGAAAAGCACAATACAATACAACAGTAGCTGACGATTCGGCAGTATCGCCTTCTTCAGTGCCTGGAAGGGTATACTGATATGCAATCTGTTAGGCCAAACGCTTCAATACCACTTACAAAAACACGAAAAACTCTCTGGTAATTACATGATCAACAACTTCTCGAAAACCCACCGCTTTTTCGTGACTTCCAATGAGGAAGTTTAGAACAGCTGATTATAGTCGCATGTGGTTGAAGACTGCACCATCCCACATCAGAAATTCATGCGAACATGCGGGGTCAGGTCGCGTATGACCTCTAGGCATTCATCCCTGCCATTCATTGTAGGGTTTTGGCATTTATCCAAAAAGCCTCAAGAAGTTTTCGCACTGGTGTTTTAGTCTCCTGTGTAAGGATATTGACTTTTACCTCAAAATTCAAGCTTAGAAGGAGAGCGACGGGCCCACACGAAACACTTGGCTAAAAGAAAGTACCGTTTATGTTGCCTTTTATAAGCGATGAAGTAAGCGTAGCTATAAAACGATGCTTAAGAAGGGCAGGTCTAGAGGAATCGGTAGCGATAGTTGAAATACCACCGGCTACTCTACGTCGCCAATTAGTTCGCAACCGCCTGTATGACCGTCTGTGTGAAACAACAAATTGCGTAATTTGCCCTTACGGCAGGGACGGTGATTGCATGAGTTCAGGTACGTTATACCTGACCTCTTGTGGAGACGATTTTGAAGTGAAAGTCAATATCCTTGCACAGAAGACTAAGACACCAGTGCGATAACTTCTTGATTCCTTTTGGATAAATGCCAAAAACCTTACAATGAATAGCGGGGATGGATGCCCAGAGGTCATGCGCGACCTGACCCCGTATGTTCGCATCAATTTCTGATGTGGGATGGTACAGTCTTCAACCATATGCGACTATAATCAGCTGTTCTAATCTTCCTCATTGGAAGTCACGTAAAAAGCGGTGTTTTTCGAGAAGCTGTTGGTTGAAGCATTTGGCCTAGTAGATTGTATATCACTATATCCTTCCAGGCTCTGAAGAAGGCGATACAGGCGAAACGTCAGCTAGTGTTGCATTGTGTTGTGTTTCTTTATGGAAGTAAATGTATGCTGTTTAAAAACCTCACGATTGCTGAACAAGAAAACGACGCTATCTATATACATCAAAGATTTTTGATTGAAGAGAACCTCATCCTGAAGTAAGAAAACATGGGAACGGGACCTCGATAAATGGTGTTCAGGTCAGATTTCTCGTCTGGTTGACGGTCATATCACGAAATACGGACTACCGTTGGAGCACACGGCTCAGTGTACCGTGTTGCTTAAATTCGGTTCGCTCACCTATACTGAACTGCAGTCGTTCATCTCCACCATAGAAGACATCCTTTTCAAATGTCCTGCGAAACGCGAGACGAAGCCAGTTTACAAGCAAGATGAAGTACAGGTGAGCATTCAGAGATCACTACATTTTAGTGTTGGCCTATTTCATAATTCACCAAGAACTGCCATTGAAATTCGGTTAGATCAATTCTTCTGCGTTGCGTGCTTGTCTAGATTTTTATGCGCATTTGCACTTCAGGCAGCGTAAATCTTTCAAAATTTCTATCGGAGTGTATTTTTTGGTCACCTTTCCATCTCAGATTCACTGTTACGACGAATACTCTGCCTTTATTGATAAGGAAGGCATTCTATCTCAACAGAAGGCGCGTGTAAGACTTTTTTGTCTTGCCTTTGTTACGGGATCTCCTATTCTTGAAATTGGTCTTAACGACAGGAGAAGACAAGGAAAGGTAGGTAACCGTTAAATTGACAGAAAAAAAAACAATGGGCAATTGAAGTCTCACACATCTTGAGATCCTAACGATGTACACGTTTAATGCAGACTACATTGTTCATGTGTGTCCTTTCTTAGCGTCTTTTATTCATTGAATTTTTCCCGGTTTCCTCGCTCTAACTAGAACGTGTGTGGCGGAGTGGTTGGAGGCGCCCTGCAACATACGCGTGGAATTGATCTTTGCGCCCATAGCCCACCAAGTCTTCCATTCTTCTGGGGTCGGAAAATTGGTTCCAGACTTGTCTGAGAAGATAGCAGTACTGTTTCGATACATAGGTAGACCACCGCAACTCGTTGTAACGGCTAGGTATGCATTGACTCAGCTCCAAACGATGTTTAATGAAATCGAATGCATGGCGCATTCCTCACGGATTGATTAACGCCGAGAGCTTTACCCTTTATCCTATCCTAATCCCTTCCTAACTCTAGACTCTCAGCATCGATGCAATAGCCCATTCTGAGTTCAGATGCAATCATAATAATTTATTATGGAAATGTACTTCGATTAAGCAAGTAAGTAACGTACGACATCAAAATTACGTCTCTCTATTACTTATCTCTTGGCTACTCGCCATAGTTGTTGACTACTCATTTCATACCCCCAAATATTAATTGTTACTGAGCCACTCAGGAAATCGTGAGGCGTAAGGATATTCTGCCGATGTATACAGAGAGATGGATTCGATTCGAAGAAGTTGAATTCCATTCAACTGTCGACACGGCTGCATTCGAAAAAGAACAGGTTATTCGACTCAGTCCGCCGGATAGCTGCTTCTTCGAGGTACGTTTTGTGAAGCTACACTGTTTTTATAAACTTTCTAATCATTACTGTTATTTTTAGTTTTTTTCTAAATTAAGGTTATGCGATTCCGTATTCGTCCGCCAAAAAACAGAGAAAAGCCACTTAACATCAAATCCACTATGAAGATTGCCGGCTCAAAGGTAAAGTATAAATTAACTACAAGGATGTTAAGATACGGGCAAAACTCGGAAACTCAGTAAGGCTTCAAACATGTGATTCCCTTGCCGGGAACTCACGTGCCTATCCATTACACCAACCGAAGCCACTGTTTTGCATTTCTCTCAGCCATTTTTCTTGTTCTATCTGTGCTACTAGCAATCATGCGTCAATTGGTTTAACCTCAGGAGCAGAAATTATTAGCCAACCCAGTTAACGTTAAACTACGGTCGAAATCACAATGCCTTGAATTTTATTCACTACTCATTCCTTTTTTCGTGTTAAGGTACCGGGTGAAATATAACCATAACGTAGCTAAGATTACCTGTGTCACTACCGTCCCATTGGTCACTAAGTGACTCAAGTGGGCACCACTTAACCTTCTATTTCTTCCTGTCGCGTGCAAGAGTAGCTCAGTGGGTTCTGCTCGCTCTAAGGACTCACTGAGCATAATATCTCTTTTCTAGGGTTTTCGTGAAGAACTCTGACTATTGGGTCTTCCTGCAGTAAGTTTAATATCCCGAGGTCCCGAGGAATCCAGTCACTAACGGCTACTGTCCATCAGTTGTCGTTCATACTCATTACGTGTCCGGCCCACTTTATCATCCACAGTTTTGCGTACCGAACGGCGGTTTTGATTTTTTTATCGCTGATATAGATCAGAGCTTTGGATCCTCAGCTGCGCAGTACCCGATGCTCCTAGCATTGTCATTTCGACTGCGCGTTCAATAGCACTGAGTGGTACTTCATCCTACATAGCGATGGACGCGTACGTTAAGGCAGGGAGATTCGTGAAGTCTAAAAGGTGAGCACGCAGTCGGGCGTTCTTTGTTCTCTTCAGTACATCTTCGATGATCTTGAAAGCTCCCTGAGCTGTTTACATCCTCCTGCTTAACCCTGGAGCTAATTCCATCAAACAACGACAACGACAACGAAGACCCATACCAATTATATAAATAAAAATTTCTATCACAAGTTCATTTCCCGAACTACATAGACGTGGCTGAAGTATTTCGAGATATTCGCCCTTTGAACGTAAATGAACGATATTTATTTATGTTATCTTATAAACTGATCTTCTTAAGCCGACACGAGGTTGGTAAAGGTCTTCGTTGTCGTTGTCGTTGTTTTTGATGTTATTGATCGATGGCTGACGTATCGGCGACTTCGCCTTCCTCAGAGCCTGGACGTACTTTATGTTAGAATACTTTTTATTATTCGGTGGAAAAGAAAGTTAAAGTATTAATGAAGATCAAACTTTCAAATAGACGCCATATTGAACAGAAAGGCCACTCACCGTGATGTTACGTGTGGGACTGGCCCACACGTAGTTCGCATGGAGTCGCGAGCAAGACACGCCCCGGGGTCAAAATATCATTTTGAAATAGGGCGCTAGGTCACGCGTGATAGTGAGGCATTCTTCCTTCCGGTTCATCTTTGGATTTTTGAAATTTATCCAAAACGCCTCAAGAGTTTTGCGCGTTGATGTTTTTGAATCCTGCGCTAAGATTTGCACATTCATTTCAAAATCATCGCCGTTGTGCTTTTGTGCCCTATGCGTACCTAGAGGGGTGTATAAACGGATTTTAGCTTTCCCATGCAGATGTTCTTTTATGCGGACACAAAGTGGTCTAGCCGTTTCCCCGATATATTCCTCGCCGCATGCATTACATGAGATCAAGTATATTATACCTAAACTCATTCAATCCCCTTCTCTCCCGTTAGGACAGATCATACAGTTTTCTGAGCTGCACAAACGATCATAGAGACGGTTTCGAACTAACTGGCGGCGTAGGGTATTGGGTGGGATGTCAATAATCGTTACATAATTTTCAAGACCACTTTTTCTTAAGCACTTTTTAATGGCGTGACTTACTTCATTTGATATGAAGGGCAGCTTAAAGGGGATCCTACTTTCGTCTGAAATATTATTTTGGGAAACTACCCAACGTTTTCCCCTAACCCGAGTGGCTTCTACTTCGTAGCCATTGGAAATGGCAATTTTTCGTGCCAGGTTTCGTGATTCCTTCCTTTCCTCCTCTCCTTTACACACATTTTTAGCCGTACGATACATATTTTTGATAAGTGCTTTTTTCATGTGTGAAGGATGAGAGGAGAGGCAGTGGACTAGAATGTTTTTACTACTTGGCTTGCGATAATACCGATGCGATAAATATATCAACTATCCATGCCGAGGTTTATAGAAAGTCGGTCTTTCGAGTTATTAAGAGACTTTCCACAAGGATTATCAAAATCAGCAAGCATTCATTTACTCTGGCTAATGCTTGATGTTATGAGAACGACGTCATCAGCAAGGCGAAGACGGTATCATTGGCGAATATCGATTTTCACCCCAGTGTTACCCCATTGTCGGATTGAAATGTACAGCAGGGCATTCGTACCTCTGGTAGGGTCTCCCAAGCTGAGAAGGAGTCCGTGGTTTTTATCAGAAAACCTAGCTAAGAGTGAACCAATACCAACATCCACCACCGTCCTGGTATCAAAGTCGTATGGTGGCAAATCTCCCTGATCCACAACGGCTGCGACTGCCTGTGGTGGTGAAGACCCTGGGCAGACTTTGGCCAGGCTGACCTTGGGATTCCAGGAAACCAAAGTGGCTTAACCAGCACGTCTCCGAAAAGTGGTAATTATGCTAGGGCCCACACAACCAGTGAGGACGAGACGTTCAAGTATCAAGCAAGTAAGTTATCCCATTCCAATGTTCTTATGGTGTTTCAGGGTGTGGTAGTGAATAATTTTGACGAAATGATGTCGTTTTGCCTAATCTCTCTTTTGATGTCAATGTTAAAATCGTTGAGGAATAGTGATAATTCCATTGTGAAATTTTTATACAGCTCAGTAGAATCTTTATATACTGAATAGGGACTCCATGATTGTGTAGGGGTTCTATGACTGCTTCTATTTTAATTGAGTCAAAGGCCTTTCTTAAACCGATGAAAGTGAGACAGAGCGGTCTATTGTGTTCTTGAGATACTTCAGTGAGTCTTATTATCGCGTAGATGTGGTCCATTGTACTAAATACTTTTCGAAACCCTGCTTGTCCATATGGCTGCCCTTCGTCAAGTGTTCTGTCAGCACTGTTTACGATGACTCAAGTGAAAATTTTGTGTGCTAAAGACAGCAAGCAGGTTGGACAATTGTTGCTAATATCGTGAAGGTCACCATTCATGGACAAGTTTTGCTGGTCTTCCATTGGATAGGAATCTTGCATTCCTCGTCTTGGTTTCGTAACTGGCGAAGGTTCGGTGGGCTCTGCGAAGGCCTTTCCATTCTCCGCAGCTTCGACCATCATTGCGGCTGTTCTGTCCTTAAGATCTGTTTTTAACCCAGATGCATTGTTTTGTAAGTACGAACGTGAGTCGGCGATCGTCGGTAGCTTCTGCCATTACACGATGGTGTATCAACTCGAGTGTTTCTGGAGACAGACGTCTCTTGGTGACTTTCGAACTCTCAGCTTTCATACGCTAACGCGAGGATGTTGAATGAGCCGATCGTATTCTTCGTCGATGTTATCGATAGCGGCATCTTCCCAGCAGCCGACTAATGAATTGAATAAGTCTCAGTCTATGGTGGTTCCGGGACTTCTGTTTTTTTAAGTTTAGCGGCTTTTCTTTCTTTCCGTGAGAAATTAGATCTTGAACGAAGGAGGCAATTACCTGATCCTGTTTACAATTTTATGGCTACAGCGGCATCTGTTAGACATAGCTTTCGATGCACTACGACACGGTCTATTTCGTTACAGTACTTTCCAACCTCACAGGAAACTTCTACGCTAAGCACTGCAACACATCTTAGTTGTCATGAAAAACTCAATAAGTCGCTCACCCTTTTCGTTCTAATCTAACCCATGGGTCCTAATGTGACGCTCTCAAGCGTTCTTCTGGGCCCAATCTCACCGTTAAAATCTCCAATGATTGTTTTATCTGTAGGACCACTCCTAGTCCATATAGAACGATTTGACTTCGTTTTTTTTCATAGCTTGATTTTGATGCACAGATAACGAAGACTGTCAAATCTGGTGTTGATCCACACCTCTCAATCGTAAACGTCCGATTCGGGTTGTTAGAAAGTTGTTCGAATGAGTAGATATCTATGGTTGAACTCGTGTTCACAAGAACGCCGTCGCCTCCAACTCCTCTACTGTCGCATGTTCCGAAGAACAGTTCGCCTCTGCTGTCATAGATGACAATAAATTGGTGACGACATATGGTCTCAGCCAGGCCGATGACGTCGTACCTTATCCTTCTTTCTTGCATGATCAAGTCTTCTACCGAGGACTCGGACGGTAGTTTGCGTACATTGTTGGTACAGATCGTCCGTTACCTTAGTTCTTTGCAATTTAGATATCCTAGAGTGGCCCTGGAACTATAGCAGCGCCTGCGTCCGACACATCACCGCTGTATCAAGGGATTTTGAGTTAGTTGTATGAGGGCCCTTTATTTTTTTGTGTTTAGCTTTTGATGTTCACTTCTAGTTTGCCGGGCTCTGAACGTGAGGATAGGTGAGTATTCACGGGTGGCCTGTCACTCCCTAAACAACGAGATCATTTGTTGGAGACCACTCCTAACCGCCTCTCGTTTATGTCCCTGTCATTTTTTGTAAGCTTTCAGCCGAATTGACTCGTAGAGCACAACCCGCTTAATCGATAACACACGATGCACACAGAAGGCATGACTCAAATCGGCATAGCAGCAACAGGGAATTCATCCCCTATATCCAACTGCGTTTCAGTGAAGCAAGGGTCGCTTTTGGTCTGCAATTAACCGCCAATCCTCCACCTGATAACGCTTCACGTTCCTGCTCGCGGCTTACTAATACGATCTCTATATGAGGGAGTTTGTGGAAGATACTGAGATGTGCGCAAAGATGCCACTTGTAGGAAGAAATAACTAATAAAGTAATAGGCGAGAAGAGAAGAAAAGAAAACAAATGAAAAAATAAATGAGAGAAGCTTTTTAAAAAATAGAACAACTGGCTACTATCATTCACGAATACTACTCATCGATAGCCACGTCCACCTTCCGTCATATAAAATAAAGGAGGATAAATATGTTGTACCACCGGTTCTTTCTTCCACAATCCGACATGTCATTTCGTCGGTGAAAATCGAACAGTTCCAGGTCCGCACAGGATAAGATCAGAGACCTCAAGAACCTTCCGCCAGTCCTCGTAAACACACTGGCTCGGTTCCTCACACGTTACCTGTTTGAACATAAGGTTCATACTCAGTGGAAGACCAGCAAAACCGTGCTAATGTTCAAGATGGGTGACCTCCACGATATCGGTCGTCTACAAACTTTTCACTCCAATGATCCTAAACAGCATTGACAGAATATTGGACGAAGGGCAACCATGTGAGTAAACAGAGTTTCGAAAAGGATTTAGCAAGGTGGACCACTTCCACACCGTAACGAGTCTCATTGAAGTGTCGCGAGAAAAACAAAAGACCGCTCAATATCACTTCCATAGATTTAAAAAACGGATTTGACTCAATTAAAATTGAAGCAGTCATGGAAGCCCTTGATAGTCAAGGAGTCCCTACTCAGTACATAAAGATTCTTCGTAAGCCGTACAAAAATTTCACAACCAAGATATCACCATTCTACAACAAGATCAACATCGGCGTCAAAAGAGGAGTTAATTATTTACCGACTTACCGCCACCCTTGAGAACATCATCGAATATTGGAATGGGATAACATGGGAGTGAAAATCGAAGGTCGGCAATTACACTATCTTCGTCTTGCTGATGACATCTTCCTTCTAACATTTCATGATGGACGAATGTCTGCCGACTTTGATAACGCCTGTGGAAAGATTGGTCTTCGCTTGAATCTCACAATAACGACATTCATAAGGAACGGATTGGTCTCGCATGCTCCATTCACACCTAACGTAACGAATATCTCTGAATGCTCCAATTATGTCTATCTAGGTCGGGAAATCAATATGATGAACGAATTAGCACCAGAGTTGAGCACACGGATACGAGCTGCTTGGGAAGCTTCCAAGAGCGTAAAGGATGTAGTGAAGGGAACAAAGAACACCCGACTATCTACTCACCTTTTCGACTCAACAGTACTTCCTGCTCTAACGTATGCGGCGAAAGTTGGTCGCTGCGTAAGCAGGATGAAAGATCGCTCAGTGTTATTAAACGGTCAGTCAAAGGAACGATGCTACGAGTATCCCGTATCACACAAGTAGCGAAAGAGATCCGAAGCTCCGACTTTCGTCAACGATCAAAAATGAAAGATGCCATTATGTATGCCAAACTGTCGAAGATAAGGTGGGCTGGAAACGTAATGCTTGTGAATGACAGCCGATGGACAAGAACCGTTAGTAACTGGATTCTTCGGAATGTCAAACGCACTGCAGAAGACCATTGCCTCGATGGTCAAGGTTTTTCACGAAAACTGTAGAAGAAAGATATGATGCTCGACGAGTTCCTAGAGCGAGCAGAACCCATTGGGCTACTCTTGCACACGCGACAGGAAAAATTGGAAGATTTACTAGCACCCGCTCGAGTCACTCGACGATCACCGAGACAATAGATGACACAGGTGATATATATATATATATCAGCGTGACTGCTTCGATTAGTGTGGTGGATACCACACGAGCACCTGGTTAGACAATCGGGATTTCGAAGCCCAGCTGTGGTTCCGAGTTTTGATCATATTTCAGCACCTTTGTGGTTCTATTTCACATGCCACTCGGCAATGGAAAAAGATTAGGCGATAAATAAAAGTTGTCGTTATATGTAGCCTTTTTATTCGTTGTTTTTCACCATTCATGGGAACAATAACGATATCATTATATAACTCTACCTGTTAATATATTATCCATAAACTGGCAAACTACATGCGTTTATTTAGTAGTCGTAATCTCGCTGAACCTGAAGCATTGTAGTCGGTGTCTGGTGTAGCAAAATGCTTTGACGAAACTTACTGCGTTGATTAAACTACTTTCAATCTCTAATATCAACTCCAGTAATGCTATTCGAGTGTAACGGCTTGAAGGTTGTAAGTTTAAAAGCGACAAAACAACAAAATGAAACTCATTTTAGAGTTACGCTATTAACCTTTTTAAATATCTGCATATCCTGCTTGTACTGCCCTGCTTACATTAGAAGAGCGCCGGTAGAAACTGCACGAATTGAAATGTGACTAATCGGAGGATTGATCATGACCAATATTTTGATTATTACGAGTCTAAGAATGAAAGGAAAGAAATAGACCGAGGCTTCATTGATTTAAGCACTCCTATCTATCAGTTATTTTTTAGATTCAGTCACTAATAATGTATTTGTCTCTTTGTGTCTAGGTGGAAATCCGCATCGAAGCGATTGCAGCCGCTCAACTAGAGAGGAACAAGGGAGGAAAAAATACACGAAGGCAGATTCCATGCGAAGATATCTCGATTCGCTTCCCCATTCCGGAAGCATGGATTTACATCTTTAGGTAATACGAGTGAATTTATGCTCTCGATTCAAATTTAAAAATTCGAATTTCTAAAAAGTCCACGAATTTCGACATGTTTAGGGAAGAACGGCATTGGGGTGTTGGGTCGGTGCACTCGAAAAAGTTGCGATCAGGAAAAGTGAAGGTTTGAATTACTGCTTTAAACATTTAAATGAGCCATATTTAGAACACACAAAGAATTGAGAGGGCACCAAAAATCGCGCAACTCATGGAGATTTCCATTTGATTAGTACTTTTCTGGTTAAGCGAATTTATCTCCACAGAGTCGTGAAATGTATTCTAAGGACTTCTCAGGTAGAAATCAAATGCCACCTGGTGGCTATATTGCTAGCAGGATGGAAGAGATTTATAGGATTGGTTTACTCTTAGGATACCGAATAGTCAAACGCCTTCTCGGATTGGGAGAGTCGCAGTTCAACATACGGCCACGATGAAGGAGAAAATCGTTTGTTGAGGGGGAGGACGGAAGGTTGAATTAAGTTTGAGAAAATGGTGGACTAGGCCAACCCTTTAGGAATTTACTTCTAATATTTGTTTGAGATACAAGCAATGAAGAGGAAATGTTTATTGTTTTTCTTCAGTGAGCAAATACGAGGTTGGTATTGTAGCCTCAACAAAACAGAAACACAACAACACATAGCACACAATAGCTGATATTTCGGCTGTTATGTCTTCTTCAGAGCTTGGTAGTATCAAATTGACATGCGATCTGCTTAACTAAATACTATCATTACCTTAGCAGATAAAATTAACAACTAAGTTTTTATTCGCATAACAAACAGCTTCCTTTGAACATGCACCGTTTTATTCGTTGTAAGTCTTCCAGTAATTCGATGGAGACGCGCCCCATAGAAACTCCAAGAGACACATGGGCTGGAAATGCCCCTGGATTATGTGTCATAGAATGAGTCTAGAGTATGACGCGAAGTCACGCGTGATCACATGACACTCCTGCTTGCGGTCCATGTTTGGATTTTTGGGAATTAATCCAAAGCGCACCAGGAGTTTTATCCTCTAACGTTTTCGATTTCTATGCAAGAATAGTAAATTTTACAACAAAATCTTACTCCTTATATTTTTGTGCCTTTTCCTGTGGAGTGTTAGTCTTAAATTTACTGGCTAGCTGTTCCTTTTACGGAAGCAGAGTGCTCTACCTCTTTCGCCAACCCATTAATCCCCACTTGCTTTGCAAGAGATTAGGTACACCGTACTCGAAACCATGCAATCACCGTCTCTAACGTCAGGGCGGATTGAGCAATTTTTCATTGTGCATAAGAGATCATACAAGTGGTTACGAACTAGCTGATGTCCAGAGTGCTCGATTGAATTTCAATTATTGTTGCCGAATTCTCTCGACCGCCCTTCTTCAGCAGCGTTTTAAAGCTGTAGTTATTTCGCTAGAAATAAAGCGTAGAATTTTGGGACCTTATTTTCGCTAAAACCGTTGTTTAGAGTTGTGATTTTTACTCTACGCCTAGCCCGAAGACATTAGAAATGGGTATTGGATGCACCATTTTCAAAGATTCCTCTTTCTGCTCCCTTCATGTGTACACACCGGTAGCTGTTCAAAGCATTTCTTACAAGCTCCTTTTTGAAGTGTGAGGGGTAAGAGAAAACGTAATGAGCAAATGTGTTATTACTACATGGCTTTCGGTACCATCGTGTAATGCATCCCTTTTCGAACAAGTTAATTTGAATGTTCGGAAATGAAAGCCACTTTTCTTTCGGTTACTCTTGGTCAAATGTGATGTACTCTAACTGTTCATTAAATAACTCAAACCACTTGTCCTTCTTTTCATGTGTGGAGCAAATGACAAAGCAATCATCTATATATCTATAGTAGAGTAATGGCCGGAGATTGTTTACTGGTCCTTCCACCTTAGAGATCAGCTCAATAGCAAGGCTTGATGCGAGTCACTGTCCCATTGCCAACCATCTAATTTGTGTGTAATAATTGTTAAATCATTCTTTTCCTTTTTCTTACTTCAATGGATACCTCAAGGAAGCTGTTCAAAAATTTTCGTTTAGACACAACCACAAGTGCTAGGTCAGATGCTCCTAGTACTTCTTCATGTTGTGATTAAACGTCATCGTGGCTAGAAGGTTTTCCTACGTGTTTGGCTGCGATATATAACGGGTAGATTCATTGCTTTAGCAAGGTCTCCAAGCTGAAAAGATGTTCAGCGTTTCCGTTAGGAAGTCCACCTAAGAGTAAACCAACGCCAGCATCCACCACTGCCCTAATATCGAATTAGTCGCATGATGGCAAATATCGTTCTGATCCACAAGGGCGGCGACTGTCTGTGACGGTGACGACCTGGGGCAGGCTTTGGCGAAGCTGACCTCCGGATTCCAAGGAACAACGTTGGCTAAGCTAACAAAACTAAAAAAAAAGTTGAATTTATACTGGTGACCACATAAGCAGTAAATATGAACCATTCAAGTATCCAACTCTCCAGCTGTTAGAATAAAGCAATGCTTACTTCCTATTTCTTTTTAAATGCACTTCTATACAGACTTCTCTCTCTGCTACTTCAGAACCTAAAGGATCGGTTACTCGGAGCAGTACAGTCTAGCGAACCGAATCTAATAGAATGTGCTATTGGAGAGGCGAAGTACGAGCATGTTTATCGTTCACTTGTGTGGAGAATAGCACGAATTCCCGAAAAGCATCATGTAGCCTATAAGTCACATGTACTGAGGTGAGCAATGTGTTCTTTCTTCATATGAAGCATAAAAAGGAACAACAAGCGTTTCCGCTCACCTATCGGTTTTATAAGACAAATTTCGGTCAGATCTTTTCAATTCCAGACAAGCCAGTGGGTTTTTTTTGCTTCAGAAAAAAGCACCCATTTTCTGGATGATTATCATTTTGTTTCTCACCTATATATTAGAAATCTTAGCATCGATACCATACTTCACAGCGTTAAATAATGGGAAGGATTTAACATATCTGGCGATTTCCTAAGCACAGGTAGAAATTCGTACTACTTTTCGCTAGGACTGAGATGGGTTGCAACTATTTCTGTCATAGAAACATGAGCCTCTGAGTGAAAGGTTCTATTGTATTTTGAATTTAAAAAAAAAAGTCACAATATATTAAACATAAGGTGAACCGTGCTATTTATAGATGGTTAGATTACTGAACAGCGCGTTGCACACATCTGCAAAATATGCGCCGTTCGTCTTCGACGGCATGGGTTGCTCTGATGGCAAGAGGAGGTGAATAAACATCTAGAACATGTATTCCAGATGCCGATTCGAGTTGTCGTCGTTCGATATGATGCCGGACGCATTCTTTCCACGTTGCGAAGTTGAATTCACTATGCCGTTGGCCACCGTTTCCAACACGGTGGTACGGTCAGTCACTGTCGAACAGCACGAAGATTCGAGCAGAGTAGAAAAATTCGTGCGTTATGTCGCTAAATGTCAGTATAAGGTTCGTTTTCCTGTGCTTGTTGTTCGTTTATGTGTTAGGCAGGTAAAAGTACGAAGATTTTGATGCAGGTGGAAAGACTTTATACAGAAACTGTTTCCATTGTTGCACTATAAAGAATACTGATGGTAATCAACGTGAAGAAAAGAGACCTATCTGTTCAGACAGCAAACCGAGAAATACTTTGAAATCCAAAGAGCTTTATTCCTACGCCAGATAAACAAAATTTGTCCTCCAGAAAAAAAATGGACGTGCAATTTACTATTTTCCTATGTCAGGCTCAATAGTATAATTGCCATTAAATTTCTTGTCAGTTGCAGACATTAGTTGACTGCAAAACGTGCTCGGCCAATTATAACGGGCTATACTTTTATATTAATGAAGAGTAGAATGCTAATTATGATGAGTGGCATAAACGATACCAATGTTATTTGCTGCCTAGTACAGCTTTTCACAGCAGAGTATAATGTGAAATAGAACAACGATGCTGAGATATTCGCAAAACTTAGACCCTGGGCCGGATCGAACCAGGATTACGCTTTCCAAGGAGTTACCTGTTACACACTGCACCACTGAGCTTCTTGATTTCTGTTGCTTTCAGCTAGTTTTCTACCTAACGCTTCCATCAGCAATCACCCCTCAAGGGGATTGATCCGGTGAGCAGAAATCAGCAAGCCAAGACATTTTTACAGTACAAAACTATTAACACAGAATGAAAGAAAAGTGTTTACCAAACACTGTCGCTGTGAAATAAAAGCCATTTTTCAGGTGGAAATCGACTATATACAGTGTGCTGATTTCGAAGTTGATACATTAAACCCAGCAGTGAACCCGGATGTGCTAATGAACACCGTACCGGAAATGCATCAACCGGCTTTCCAACCAGCTGAAGTCGAACAAGTGCATGAAGGGTGAATTCTGCATAATTACAAAGCGCCTTACAAGGACGAAAAAGTAAAACTAAGTGTCTCCGTAGTCTTGCTGATATAGGAGGATGGTCTGAAAATAGAATGAAAGAAAAAGAAACAGACAAGAACATTAGGACTAGTTGAAATAGGTACATCATCTATGATTTTTAAATTCGGTCATTTTAATGACAGTTCATAAATCCTAGATTATATTGAATAAGGACGATTTTAGCTCCAGAATTAGCCAGTATCTTTTAAATGCTACGAGCATTCTTTCCAGTCATCTTGCTCAATGAATCTTACCCATACAGTGACACCAGTGAATTACAGCAAATGAAGTGGAGAAAAAAGCAGTGAAGCAGTGAATGTTGAAAAGCCGGCTTTCCTCTTCTGACCGCGTTGTAGTACAGCAGAATCTCCGATTAAAAATGAGGACATTCTGGCACCTAGTTATGGAAAATCAATAATTTTTTGCATGTGATATACTGTAATAATTATCACATCACATCACTGTAAGATTTTAAATTAACCAAAACATTTTAAAATGTGAGAAACTCGAAGACGGTTAAATAATAGATATCAAAAATCTATTATCGACTCCTTCCCAGTGTACGCTGCACTTCAAGAGGTTCTGAAAATTGGACCGGGGTTGAGTTACTGTTGTTTGCGGCGAGGGCTTGAGCTATACACCCTCTACAAGCACACTACCATATCCTTCATACGAACGTGGATCTGTTTGCATATATGCTGGTCGTACACTGCAACCTCCTACCAGAAATCAAGTACTTGGAAAAAGTCATGGGAGGCAGCACAGCAGCCTCTATAAAATTTTGAAAGGTTATACGTGGGTATTGTTCACCAAGGAATGTTTGAAACAATGCGCTAATTTCCTCTTATCTCAGGAGTATGCTAAGATGACAACTTCAGAAAGGAATAGTACGGGAGAACTGCTCAAATCTAAATGTTATAACAGGTTTACAAAATTCGAAGAAACATGACGGTGATGAGTACTTAAAAATTCTGCTCCTTGCCTAAAAATTTAATCAAAGAACTGATAGTGCAAGCTAAAAAGATGAAATAAGACTCCATCAGTCTGCCAATATAGGATGATACAAAAGTCCGGCCTTAGTGACACTGGCGGCTAATAGCTTCGCATTGTGTGCTATATTAAGGAACTCAATAGTGCCCTCTTTAAACCACGAATTGAATTGGATGTTTCGCGTTGGAAGGAATGTCGACTACCAACACTTAACGCCATTCTGCTTTAAAGGGATGTTCAAATGACTTCACATCGGAGAGACGGCCTCGAACGATGAAGTGGAACTTTTTGAGTTTAGCTTCGTTATTTATAGATTTGTAAACAAGAAGGAACACTTGTTTTTCAAGAGGTGCTCCAACACCATATCCGCAACTATCACCCTCTTCTGTTGGAAAACTTTTTACCAAGCTTTAGGATTGGCAGAATTTTCGACAAAATGTAGCCGTCAGACCGCATAGGTCACTGAAGGGTCTTGTACAATGGATTATATTCGCAAGAGAAAGAAGCACACTTGAAGAATTGCACAACTACCATATGTTCTCGACAACCCAGATGAAAAAGGCGTCTGATTCTACGCAGACAGAAGCTGACGTCAATGCTGTCACGCACTGCGCAACCTGTAAATCATTATAAGAAATTCATCAATAGCTGCGTAGCGTCTTTGCGCACAAAATTTCACCATTCAAACACGACGTTGCCGTCCGCATGAAAAGGGTTTGACTAAGTAATGCTGTTTAACTATTTAGCTCTGCCTTCAGATATTTAAATGAGAGAAAGCAAAGTTCACTTCAAAGAATACCGTTCTAAGAAGCTAAATGATTGCTGAAACGGAACGAATGCTAGGAGAACTAATATTTTTTGTGGCGAATGTAGACTGATATGTTTTCGTCCGAATTTGAACAAAACGCTATTCGTGAAAGCGGGCTATTTCATGGCACCTGCTCAGCGGATGGGCAAAGTTAACGATTCGGACGTTACATATGGGGCTTGGGAAGCACAAACTTGGTTCACAATGTTTCAACTTTTATTTACTACTTATTCTTTTTTTCATGGCACAGTGCAATGTGCAATGAAACCCTTGCGTATTTCTTCTAAATAGAAGCTCGGAATTTTTCAGCAATGTAAGACACGATCTTGGCACATTTTCTCGTCTGAAACTAAAACTGTTGTCATGTTTGTACTGCTCTCCACTTCTTTCGCTTAGCTTAGCGCGCTTTCTACCGGCATTCCAAAATTTTGAAGGAGAATACACCAATTTTTTTCTCTTAATTTCATTTCGGACAGAAATGTTCCGTTAAGATTATTCTCTAAAGAAGTAGATCTTCCAATCTGTTTACCACGATTCTCATCTACCCGAGATCGGCAAATTAATATCGGCCTACTGTGGGAGCAGTCCGCTCTCTGTAATCCAAGTGAGAACATTCTAGCCCTGTTATCTCAGGATTTCAAAGAGATTTCAAAAAGCACTGACTCGACCAGAATTCTACGACTTTTGTGTGACCCAAAAATCGCCAAGCAGCAGCTGAACCCATACGCGGAAAGTTCGAAGACCTTCGTGGATTACGGATACGACGAAGCAAGTCGGTCGCAAGAAGAGCTGAGATCGGCATCTTTGACATGAAGACTGTTCGTGTGAAATTTAAAAAAAAAACTTAATAAAGTGACTTTTTGGCGTAATTTGATTGATACACGCTCCCGATCTCCATTTTTAACAAAGTTCTTCTTATGTTCTTGATTCTTGGTAAGATTTTATCGTCCGAGTTAGCGGAAATGCTCAGAAGCTCCATTACATCAGTTTCATTTGGGTGTACATCGGATCATTTTTTATCGAATCGTAACCCACGAGCGTTAATACTTCCAACAGTTTTTCTAGTTTGTGGTTTTTTTGTCAGTTAGTCGCCGTCAGTTACGTCTACTGTCAACTAATTAATGTTTTTGAACTCTCTTAGGTCAAGCCGTACTGCTGTTTTGTTCAATGGAACTGGCAACCATACATTCACCACTTTTTAAAGACACTTATCTCTGGATCGACTTTCTCTTAACCTCGGCATTGGAATATGAATGTGTCGTTTTCTTGTTCAGCAATCGCGAGGTTTTTAAACAGCATACATTTACTTCCATAAAAAACACAATGTTGGAATATGAATGTGTCGTTTTCTTGTTCAGCAATCGCGAGGTTTTTAAACAGCATACATTTACTTCCATAGAAAAACACAATACAATACAAAGCTAGCTGACGTCTCGGCAGTATCGCCTTCCTCAGAGCCGCTTTTTCGTGACTTCCAATGAGGAAGTTTAGAACAGCTGATTGTAGTCGCATATGGTTGACGACTCATTGTGTTGTGTTTTTCTATGGAAGTAAATGTACGCTGTTTAACGTTTTGTTTTCTGCCTTCTATAATTTTCATGGCAGGTTACTAAGCGAAATACAACCACAACGTTACTGAGATATTTGCAAAACTCTGGACCGCAGGTGTCTATGGCGGGGAACGAACGCGCTATTATCCTTTCCGGGGAGTCAACTACAGCCATAGGTTAACTGGGTTCCATGCCGATTTGCGCTCCCCAGATCAACCCCGCTGACGGGTGATTGCTGTGGCAAAAAGATCGATAGAAATAGCTGAGAGACAGGCGAAACGAAGGCCCCGCATGGTGTGGTGGTGAACGCGTTACTCCCCGGAAAGGATAATAGCGCGTTCGTTCCCCACCATAGACACCTGCGGTGAGTTTTGCAAATATCTCAGCAACGTTGTAAATGTACGCTGTTTAAAAACCTCGCGATTGCTGAACAAGAAAACGACACACTTATCTCTCTCACATTGCTTATAAGTCATGCCTACTTTTCCCATTCCTAAAAAACTTCAATCTAACTAAGAAACTGAGAAACTAAAAAAATCGAGTATCTACATCGCATCATGTCACAAAATTTTTAAAAGAAATACTTTCTTCGTATTTTTGTTGAGCAAACGCGAGGTGTTACTATTCTTTGTTCACGATTAAGCTGACGTTTCGGCGGATTTCGCCTTCATTATACTTCCACGTGATTTCTGTGCGGTTGGTCTCTACGTGACATACTTAGTGGAAACCTCATAGAAAGCGGCTCTGAAGAAGGCGAAATCCGCCGAAACGTCAGCTTAATCGTGAACAAAGAATAGTAACACCTCGCGTTTGCTCAACAGAAATACGAAGAAAATCACTTGATCAATGCCGAGGTTAATAGAAAGTCGGTCGTGGCAATAAATACTTTGTTGTAACAACAAAAAGGCGATCTATATTTTCGTCCTAATTTTGATAAGTTTCGGCGCGCAGATTTCCATTTTCAAACCTGAGTACTGCTTAAATGGTTGTACCCACTTTCCAAGTAGTGAACATGATGAGCTAAAATAGCACATATTCTTAGGGTTCGAATACTCTTAGCTAAGCTATCCGACGGAAATGTAGAACTGCCTCTTCGACTTGGGTGAACATGTGGTGGAGATGAACCTCTCATTTTTTAATATCAGTTCGACTCCCAGAAAAATTTGCAATGACGATGAGGCGGTGCACCATAGTGGCATAGGTATAGCGAAAATTTTTCAACACATCTATAAAGGAAAGAAAGCTAACTGGCTCCAGCATTTCTTTCACTGGTTTCGTTGCCGTGCAATAACTGTTACCCATCCACAAATCGTTGGCACCGCTACTCTACAGGAGCAGTATTAATGGCAAAGAAGCACGCCACTTATCTACGTAAGTCCCTAATTGTGTAGGTTCACGTTCTCGGAATGTCCTGACGCAGATATCTAGGTCTCGAGACTTCATGGAAACCACGTTAGATTTACATATATGAAATTACCTTAAATTACTAAAAAATCTACCATCAAATTATTAGCATGATATTGCAGGTATCGCATTGAGTTCAATGAATCCGAGATAGAAAGAGCTCAAGGTCAGGATTCAAGTTCGGATGACGACACTGACAAGGGGCA